TCATGAGTCACAGTAGTTAGAGCGAGCGCCAAGTATTCAGAGGCGGGACGACCTCAACACGGCCATCCTGAGTTTGAGTCCCATCCTCGGTTTCCTTTGCCACATGTCTCCCCCACTTTTCTTTGCCCCCTGTTGTATTATTGTCAAATAAAGGCCACTAACTAATGCCAAAAAATATCTCTAAAAAAATTACATTTACATATTCATCATGCGCATTCTTATCAATTCTTCCACTGGGAATGAAACAATGAAGAACTTACTCTAAAATCTTAAGTTTCACCTTCACTCAACAACTGGATGATTGAAACACAACTGCCCAACTTAATTGTTGAATTATAACCAAGACACCAAACTTATTTAAATAAACTTTGTCAATTGTTATTTTAAAACTGACCTAATATCAAGGCAGGATTATCATACCAGAAGCTTTTTGAAGGCAACAAATAGTTACATAATCTTGTCCAACGTCAGTGTCTGACCTCACGTATGTGTTTCTGGAAGAAACGTCATCTTAAACATACAGTATGTCTGAACTTTGTATGCAGCCTGCTCAGAACAGTTGAAGTGGCTCTGTATTAAAAATGAGGCTATATTAAAGCCTTTGTATTATGAACATTGCCATACAATCCCAAAAAGAATGGTTGGAATGCGTCTTCGTAAAGGACGATAATCAATTCATGCTCTGAATTGCATATTCTACCACATTCCTACAGCTAATTCAAATAATAATAAAAAAAATAGCCTAAACCAATCCCAAGCTGTGATGGTCCTCCATGCCAAAGCGTCAGCTGTGTCTGTGCTCAGTCACACAGTAGCTGCACTGCCACAACACAGGCCCGCCTGAAGCCGTTAATGTGATTCTGTGCAAGCGGGTGAACTTTCCCCCAGATAAAGCCGACACACCGAGAGGGAGGGTGGAGTGAGGAGAGGAGAGGAGGGAAAGCTCTGCTTGGAAGAACAACCGTGATCATCGAAGAGGGTGATTCACAGCAAAAATCTGCCACAGATATAAATGCAAAAACAACGATTTTCAATAAAAAAAAATCAAGTAAGGGAAGACATAGAAAAAAACAAAGCTTTTTTAGTTCACCCAGCTTCTAGCTAATGACATATACAGCTATTGTTGTGGGTATATAATTTCATAAATACTACAGACCATTTAAAGTGCACCACTGCACACATAGGGAACAAAGACTCACAATTACATCTGGCATTCTCATAGCTGAAATAAATAGCCACCTGTGTCAAAGTGAAGGCGTTTAAATGTCTGAGAATACATAAAGCGGTCTCCACAAGAGGCAAGCTGCACTGTGGTGTGTTTTTAGGAACAGCCCCTCCTCTCAGGAAGTGTAAAAATGGAGCACATCTCCAGCTCTGCTCATCCTCCTTGCCTCTGCCACAGCAGCCATCTGAACCACTGTTACCGCACTCGGATCTGTCTGACTGCATGCTGCTTGGCAAACATGACAGCACAGCAATATTACGCTACACAGGCTTCCAGGACATATGACTCATGAAATTGCATAACAAGACCTTCTTACAATACATGAGACTCTGTATTATATAGGTCAGAGTACAAATCCTTCCTCAGGTGCATCATGCTTACCTTTCTCCTCAAAGAACTTCTCAAACATAAATTATATGGTGTTTTTTGTTGTTGTTGTTTTTAAGTAAAGCAAACAGTAACATAGCAACATTCAAATGTTAACGTTAATCTGAAAACACTGGAACATATTTTGTATTGGATTTCAAACCCCAAATTAACGCGGGAATCTGCTCTCCATCTGTCCGGTCCATGCCAACATATGTTACCTGCAGCAGGTGCAAACAGTGCTTGAGTCATTTCATCTGCAGGTCCAACTAAGTGTTAAATTAAAGCCATAAAATGCAAACCTTATTTATAGTAATTGCTCAAAACATAAACGTCATGTAGTGTTAGGTAACTAGTCATTTATTTCTGCTAAGAAATAAAGGATTATGCTTTAATGAATTAAAATATTCTCTCACTCCTTTTTTAAAAATGTATTTTAAAAAATTATTTGCAATAATAATAATAATCTAATGCATTTTTCTAAATATTTTTTTTATTAGCAGGACAAATTATTTTGGATTTTCATTTCATTCGTCAATGTTTTTTGATTTTTTTTATATTCATACAGAATCTATTTTGTTGTCGCTGTTCTAAATGATTGTTTAACTGTATTCATTTCATGAATAAGCTTTTTTATTTTGTGTCAGGAATGATTTATATTTTCAGAAGAATGTTCTGCAAGTGCATCATTAAATGTTCTTCTTTAACTATACATTTATTTATTTGTGTAAAACACATCTTATTAACTTTCTGTCATTATTTATTGGGTGATTTGCTGGAAACAACGTTGTTTTTGTTTGCTTTTTGAATAAATCATTTACTTGCTGAAGAAGAAATCTCTTGTTTACCCCTTCCTGATTGTTCCTTATCAATCTATCTGAAGAAATAAACAGAAGAGCCTTATTTCTGTTTACTTTTATATATTAGTGGCCTATTGTTTTCTAAAAACAAAATCTTTTGAAGTAATATTCATTTACTGATTATCCTGCCTTATTTACTTCATGGAGTACTTATCTTTTGAAGACATGTTACCGAAGTGATAGTGATTAGTCTCTGACAAACCTACTGAAGCTGAGTTATCACGTAATGTGTTTCAGAGGCATGATGCACTAATAAACTGCACGCATGTGCAGCTTCCCAGACACTTTCTAGATTTCCCTTCCCAAGCAGTCAGTCAGCTGCTCTCAGGCTGCAGCCAGGCTCAGCAGCTGACAACAAAGTCCTCTCCATTTCACCAAGCTTTCTGTCCACCGTGTAAACCCCAGACCAACATCATGTACCCAGTGTCTCGGCTGTAAGTGGGCAGCCTGTTCCGCCTCTCCGCCCGTCATCTCTGGAGGAAGGAAGCCTACGTGACACTGGCTTGTTTACTTCGTCCGCCTGCTAACCCAGCTGTAGCTCTTGTCTGCACATAGTGTTCGCTCGCAGCAGCTCCACAACGTGAAAACGCACCAGAGTGCGGAGAGGATCCGGTTCGGTGCCTACCTGTCCTGTCCCGCGGGTTGTTCGGCTGGCAGGAGCCCCTCATGGTCTCTAAAAAAGCCTCTTGCTGTCAGCGTGCAGAGCGCCGTGAGTGGGTGATGACTGCAGCGGAGCGCAGGCAGCGATGAATGAAGTGGGAGAGCGCGCGCGCGCTCGGCATGCTGTTCCGTGAACACGGGCGCGTGCACGCGGTCACCTCCATGCAAAGTGAGAGGAGCACGTGTTTGTGAGTCTGCATGAATGTGTGCGTGGCCGCCGTCACCTTATCAGTTTCTCAAGTTTTTCATGCTGAAATCCAGTTTCTAGATCTGGAGAAAGAAAATACTGGATGAAAGTTCATCCATCCATCCATCCATCCATCCATCCATCCATCCATCCATCCATCCATCCATCCATCCATCCATCCATCCATCCATCCATCCATCCATCCATCCATCCATCCACCCACTGAGCCACTATGGAGTTTGAAATTATTCTGAGCCAATTATTGTTGAAGTTACATATTAAATAATGACAACTCTGGAAAAGTAGATGGAAATTCAAATCAAAAATTCAACCAGACTGAAATAAACACAGAACCATGGTGTAACGATGGTTTATGTATGTTTATATTTTGTTAACTCTTAGTCTGGCTGACTATTGTTTTAAATCTTCCACACTCTGGAAATATTTTTTGTCTTTTGTATTGTCGTTGTCCTACACCAGCGACCTGCAACCATTTTCTTTTTTCACAAAACCAAAAAGAAAATGTTTTTGATTTTGGATGCAACAAGAAATTGCAATTTTTGGATTTTCTTCTATGTTCTTATGCAAAATGTGCTTTCAATATCTACAGCAGGCTATTAAAAGTAACTTCAAACTATGCTGCCAATCTCACTTTGTCACAAAGTTGAAAAAGAATTAATTTTCTTCTAAGATATGAAAATAGAATAAAATTTTTGTTTAACTTTGTTAAGTTTTCATCACAAAATATTTGACGTTGTTTAAAAATGGTTTCTTGCAGCTCGGGGCAAATTTTCTTTTATAGCAGCAGGGGCAATGTAAAAGGTTGCTGAGTGTTTATGTTTGTCCTACATCATTAATAGGTAAATTTGCACATTTTGTTTTCCTTTCAAGCCCTTCTGTGACATTTTAATGGGACATTGGGATAAGTTCAGTTTTGGCCCGTATACGCAGTTTCGCAGTTCATCCACACCTTAAACCCTGGGGGAGCCTCAGAGGAACCGTTTCACTCCAGTGCCAGTTCTTGTTAAAATAGGTTAATTATCTTCATCTAATTACAAAACAACTTTGAAATGTTTTTGTTGAGACTGCCGTTCAAAACTAGGCTACCAAGTATCATGTTGGGAGAACTCAATGGCTTGTATTGTGGTGTGCATTGTGATAAGACCATAAAAAATAAAAAGCCCAAAACAGACGTCTAAAACAATTTCAAGCTAACTACCACTGTCTCAGATTTCCCATGTAAATATGTTATAGCTTCTCTGTTATAATAACCCCCAAATGATGAAGTTTTATCAGAAAATCTTGGATTTTTCAATCTTTATTGTGAGAAAGTGAAATACGAGTGTTCAATTCTTCACAGATAAATGTGTGACCGTCATAGCTCATTATGTCTGGAAACATTACAAACACTGACATTAATTAGTTTATAGAGAGCGTCCATCGCTCTCTATAAACTACTGAAGAAATAGTCAGTTTTGAAAGATATTTTTAAAACCGCCGCCATGAACACGAATCCAACAGGCATCATTTCTGCATATTTTTATTTGAAAGCTTCCGTGGAAACTTGCTGGTCATCTTTAAGTTTAAAGAAGTTAAGTTTACTGAGTTGCAGACGATCATCACTTTCACTTCCCATCTATCACCTCCAGAACTTTTTTGCTGCTGCATTAATGACTTTGGGTGAGAGCAGCAAAAATCATAATCAACTTAAATATTGTAAGTCTTGCGTGTCTTAATGCATCTCCTGCTTCCTTAATGCTTTTCTTTTTTCTAAGTCGTCTTAATTTTGAAGTTCTCTTGAGGTTTCCCGGAGTATCTGCCTTTGTTTGAATGCTTCTCTCAGTGCATTCAGGATGAGATCGCTTTTTTGTGGTTCTGCTGACGAGCCCACCTAAAAACCACAAAACAGTTGGCTTAGTCCTTTAGTTTTAAAATTACAAACACAGACAGTCAGAGACTCAAGCTCCTCTTACATCTTTAAAACTGGCACTTCTTCTTAATCTACCAGGTTCGGGAGCAGGAGGAGGAGCATCCTGACTGTCACCTGTTCTGGTTGTGTTATCTGATGTCTGCTCAGAGTTTTGGGTTGACGGAATCGGCGGTAGAGGCCCTTTCTGCAAAGCTACGGAAATGGATGGCCCCGCAGATCTTGGTAAAGTCTGTGAAGCTGTGCCTATCAAACGTACCAGAGAAGTCAGTCAGACTTATTCAATTGTTGATCTTTTTAAATAAAAAAGTTAGTAACTGAGAGAAAATGTGTTGTTTCAAAAAAAAAAACCTTTCAAGAGAAAAATACCTTTCTTCCTCAGCTCTTTTTGCACAGCTTTTAGTCCTCCAAACTGGTTAATGATGCAGTCGACCACTTCAGCAACATCTTTGTTTTTAAGGTCTTCCTCGCTTAGTCTTGCCTCCATCAACAGCTTCTTCATACTAGGATCCAGATCTGAAAACTAACATCAGAAAATGGAAAGATGTATAGAGATTTTGCAGTATTTTTATAGTGTTGTTGCAGTTTTACTAAGACATTATGTTTGTTACACAGAAGCTGGCTCACCAAACTTGGAGAGGCTGGAACCGGTGGGAAGAAAATTGGCTCTTCATACAAATGATCCCCTTTTATTCTCCTACAAAAAACGAGGGCGTAAACTTCCTTTTCAAAGGATTTCTCAGTCTTCTCATTAAAATACGTTTGTTTCTTACTCTAAATCAGGTGGGTGGCTTGTTGGGACTATCTTTTCTTCAGTTTTTGACTTCGCAATCGTGGCTGTCATCTTTTCTGCAAAAAGAAACACGTAACAGGAGATTAACCAGGAATAACAGTCTCTAACAGTTTCTCCTTTAATATGATGTGTTATGAAGAGGACCAAACACATTTCATGAGAGACAGGACAGTTGATCTGCTCCTTGTTCTAACCTTGAACATCCTCCACTGCAGACTGAAACTCCTCTGCCTCAGATTCGTTTGCAAAGTTGAGACCGACCTGGCAGGCCTGCAGGGAAGGAACAAATGATCCGATGGTGAATTACAAAAGTATTTGATTCTCATTCTTTATTTTTTGTTTTCAAATTAAACTTTAAAGTATCATGCTGGGATTTTTTTTTATTTCTAAAAGTGAGGAAAGTTTGGTGTGCAGACACCTTTAATGTGGTCCCAATAAATAAAATCTAGTGCAACATATTTCTAATATAGTGGTCATCTAATAAGTAAACACCCTTGATATTTAATCTAAGAATAAATGTGTTTTCTTCAAAAGACCAAGAGGTTTGTTAGAGAACATTAGCGAACAAATACTGGCACCATGGAGACCAATAAACAAAACAGACTGATCAGGAATAAAGTTGTGGAAAAGTTTAAAGAAGTAGGAGTGGGACTACCGAACGCTGTTGTTGAAAAAAACGCATAAAAAGTTCTGTTAAAATTTTGCAAGAAGCCATGAAGGTCAAAAAACAAATATTCAGAATATGCTCTGGTCAGATGAGTTCAAATTTAAACTTTATGGCCAACATGTGTGGAAGAAAACTAACACTGCCCACGACCCCAAACGTCACTGACATATTTGCCAAGACTCTTCTTCATGGGAAAATGATGGGAGTTACAATTGACTAGCTAACATCAAATCATAATAATATATTTCAATGGGCTTAGTCAAAGTCTAAAGTGACAAATCTGTGACAATATCTGAAACTGTGAAGTTTACAGATGTTCTCTGTCCAATGTGAGGTTAGACTTAAAAATTGGATTCAAAATTTAGTCTGTTAAAGTGCAAAACTGTGATTAAAAGAAAAAAAAAGATGGCTCCATAAATTATTAGCAAAGGAGTGTGGATTAAATACCCAAACATAAGTTAAAATTTAAGGCAGGAATGTGACAAAGTGTGAAGAAGTTTAAATGGTATGAGTGCTTTTGCAAAACACTGCATGGCACACGCAAACACACTGACAGGCTGTCCAAACAACATGACTTACTTCTCCAGGGAAAGTATGGAAGTATGCTCGACTTGCAGCGTATTTGAAAGGAATGTACAATTCCTGCTCCCACAGTAACTTGGCACGCTGTGTTAAAGGGAGGGACAAAGCAAAAAGAAGAAGTGAAAATGCTCGTAAACTGTGAGCTGTACGTGCAGCAGTGCTATTCAAACAGGGCTCATTGTTTGTAGAGGAAACTTCAGATTAGAGGAAGCTGCATGTGCAGCTCTCCTTGAACACACAAAACAAACAAATATGGCTGTCATTTTCCAGAGGGAAAATAACCCTGTATATTTCTGCACATGTGAGTGGGAGGAGCAACAAGGTCTCTCTTGTTCTACTCACCTGGACACAGTAGAGACGCAGGAAGAAGGACTGCAGAGACGTGTCCTCGATGAGACAGACCACGCCGCAGTCCACACGATGCCAGCTCCGGCTCTCACCCTCAGAATCATTGGCCTGGAGTATCTGGGCTACTGTACTTTTCACCAACTAGAATACATTTTTTAAGTTACCACAGGCAAATATATATTACATATCCTATATCTGACTGTTGCACCAACATTTATTGCATCTCCCATAAAGATATGCAAAAAGCAAAGAAGACAATGATTACTTTGTATTGCTGCAGCATAAACTCTATCTTTTTTTTTCTTTTCTTTTTTACCTCCCTTATCATGATGCTCACTGTGTTTATTGACAAAACAAACATGGGTCCATGAAAACCAGGAAAACTAAAGCCTGCACACCTTAATATAGGAATAAGGCTTTTATAGGAGCAAAAATCAACTACATGAATAAAGTTTTTGTCCTGTGTTAAATTTTTTGACCTGTTAACCACATTTGACTCATTTGCTTCTGTAAAGTCGCTATAAACTGAACTGACCTTGCAGTGCGGTTCCAGCAGACGAATGAGGATGCCTTTCTCACGGATCGTCAGCAGGTCACTCATTATATGAGACTGAGGCATCTGCCTGAGCGCCATCACTTCCATTTGGTCTTCTGCTCAGCTCAGCTGCCTCAAGCTTTTCCTTGCGTCCTTTCTAAACGTGTCCATTGAGCGCTTTCTGATCTTCATACCTGCTCTAAATGTCTTCAGTTTCCATGAAACGAGCATTTATGCAAATTTATGGACAGTGTGTGAGCAGAGGACATTTTTGAATAGGCAAATCTGTTTATGTGCTGTAGCCGTCAGAGAGCCAGCATGAAAGAGTTCAACCTGTTCAGCTCAGACACATACATAGAGCTGCAATCATCACTGATGTAGCCCAAGCAAATGTTTAAAATGTGTTACATTTCCACTTGGGTATCCAAATCTGAACTGTCCTTTAAAAACTGTTAAATTACAAGAATTACATTTCAATGAAGTTCGTTCATTCATGTATTCTTTTTGCAGGCTTTAATTCACATTTGGGTCAAAACACCAGTTTGTCCTAATTGTTTTCAGCCTCTAACATGTTTTCTTTGAGTATTGGCACTTATTTAACCCTAACCAACTTCCTCTTGAGTCTACCCAGCTTCTTTGTTCGTGTTGAAAAACAACATTACCACAGCATAATGTTGCCAGCATCCTCCAGATGAAAAACCATTCAGCATAAGATTAATTTACGAAGGATAATCTTGATCCTTCCAACCTTCCCAGACCAGAATGCTCTTCGATGAACCAAAATGCTACTGCGACTCCACAAAATGTGTTACTACAGCAGTATGTCTGCATGATGAATGTCTTCAAAGGATTGATTGTGTCAGAATGTATGAATATAAATATCCATTAATAAACTGTTAGAATATTAGTAAAATGCTGGGTCTGTAGTCTTTGCACTTTGTAAAGCGAATACAGATAAAAACTACTTTCATTCCATCGATAAAATAATATCTAAACACACAGCTATTAACTGGGAGGTTCTAATTATGTGGCCCTTTAAACTCTGGAGAGCCAAATAAATTGTTGTGCTCTGAAAAAAATGAAGAGCCCACTGCACTGAACCCCAATGAAAACCTCCTGCTTAATCCACCAAATATCGATTCCTGAATTCAAACATTAGTTTTGTTGTTCCTAAATAAATACAAACTTGTTTTCTTTGCATTATTTGACGTTTGAAAGCATTGCATCTTTTTTGTTATTTTGACCACTTCTCATTTTCTGCAAATAAATATTTAATTTTTGATTTGAAGTTCGGAGAGATGTTGTCAGTAGTTCATAGAATAAAAAAAACAATGTTTGTTTTACTTAAACATTTACCTATAAAAAGTAAAAGAGAAACTGATCACTTTACAGTGGTCTTTTTTGTTTTTTTCCAGAGCTGTGAATTATTATATTTAATAAATGCTGTTTATCTTTTTTACTTTCATTTGCACATTTTTTGTAACTTTTGTTCGGAAGTAAATAAATTGATGTGTGCGGATTTGTCTTTGGTGTGAAAAGTGACACAAAATATTTTAAACAAAATTTATTTTTGTGCTTCAGAGCTAAAATTGTTCAAATACAAATGTGATTTTTTTTCTACTAATGAGTAACGAAACACAGACAATAAACACACAAAGTAAACGATATGTAGAGGGAGTATTGCGTTTTATACTAATTTTGTCCTGGAATCGTTTTTCCATGCTCTTCATTAAAGGCCACCTCTTTCTGACTGATACACCCCACGCCTCCGTCCCTGCTGCCCCTGTCTGCACCCTCTGGATGGCCTGTAGCGCCACCTGCTGGCCTGTTGCGTCTCTTGTTTAGCAGAGGATTGTTGGACGTGTCCAAGTCCTTAATCTTCACCTGGTCGTAGTCCACACGCATGGTGGCCAGAGCGCTGGTCATTCCCTCCTGCAGGAACAGGTTGAGATATAAATGTGATCTGGTGCGTGTCTGCCATCTAGTGGCAATTTTATAAAAATACATACATACACAAAAAAAAAAAACACTCCATGCAGATGGACAGAGCATCACCTTCACATCGTCCCACAGCTCCATGTCTTCTGTTAAAACCCGAGACGTGTGCAGAGGAGTTTGTGGGACGGCCATTGACTGCTGTTGGGTCAGAGTATAAACATCACACACAGAACAGACTATTATTATGATTTAGAGACGGAGAGAAAGCAAAGTATGAACTTACACTGATCCAGGGATGGTTCATGAACTGACTGATGGTCATCCTCTCATTGGGGTCTGTCTTCAGCAGCTGAACAATCAGCTGTTTGGCTGCAGGTACAGAAGCAAACAGCTCTCACTGTAATGTCTTTTTATGATAATGCATTAAGGTACTACAAATAAATAAATTCAAGCAAGATATCTATTACTTCCAAAACCAGAGAAAGCATTAAGTTCTCTAAACATGCAGCCTGTTTTGAGAGCTTCTGTTCTGTGCTAAAACTTTTACTCTTTACTAAATATCTTTATATGTTGCTGCTAATAAACCTCTAACTTCTCAACTTCTTCAATTTAGTCAACTAAGTGTTAGATTTGATCTTACGCTTTGCATTATTGGCATTCTGTCACAAAGTCATTCTTATTCCTTCTTAGATACTTTTTACATTTCTACTTTAAAGGTCGACCCGACACTGTTTAATCTGTTAGTTTAGCAGGTAATATTGACATGCTAGTGGACAGAAAATGAACAAAAAAAGAAGATTTCAAGGAAAGACTCAGCAAGTGTTGATCCACAAAAAACTAAAGGTTGAGGCCTTTTGCAGGTTAAATACCTCTTCTATAGTTTCAAGTGCATAAGATCTAAAATAAACGGTTTAATAATTAGAACTGTGTTGTGTTAATTCAGGACATCATTGTGATTCAAATAAATAAAATTTATGTTATTTACTTATTTAATTTCTGTTTTGTAGAAAACGGTAAAAATACTGACCTTCCTCAGAAACGTCGACCCACTCAGGGTTGGGAAACTCATACTGGCCCAATCTGATCCTCTGCTTCATACCTGGAGAGATGGCCTGGCCTGTGTTGGAGTAGAACGGGGGAAACCCACAAAGTCTGCAAAACAAACAAACAAACAAACAAACAAACAAACAAACAGATAAGGGGACAAAAGAAAAAAAGAAAATGGAAACCATTAAAAATAAACAAAAGGAGAAAAAGTCAGAAAGAAAAAATAAAAAATAGGAAGAAAATATTAGAAAAGAAATAAACAATGAAAAGGAAAAGAGAAAAAAAAGAAAGAGGCAAATTTTGAAAAATTAAATAAAACATCAGAGAAAAACATTCTTCTGTGTTTCAGCAGTTGACTAGCAGACCTGTGTAATAAACGCAGCTGAATGAGGTCGAGACATACATGATACTCACAGGATGTACATGATGACCCCCAGAGACCACATGTCACAGGACTTGTCGTATTTCTCCGGTCCGAGTACTTCAGGTGCTGCATGGAGAAAACAAAGCAAATCAGCGATGAGCAAAGAAAGATGCTCCAAAGTGATGCAACGTGACAAGCTGACATCAATCAGTCATATAACGGCTGATAGTAGCTTCCAGTGGTGGTTAAAGCTCTCACCAACATAATACGGGGTGTAACACGGGGTTTGGAGGGAATTGTGCATTTTAGTCTCCTTTGCAAAGCCAAAGTCGGTCAGTTTTAACGTAGCGTTGCTGTCCTTTGTCGTGTAGAGCAGGTTCTCGGGCTGCAACAGTAAAAAAGAAAAGTGAATCCTCCTTCATGCTCTACTAAGACTGGATAATAAATCAATACCAATATCAATAGATTACACGTCTGACCCATAATTTTACTGAACTCCGATTCTGGGTGATGTAGGTAGAGAAAAAGTTGTAGCTTGTAGGCAGCTAAGCTAGGTGGGTGGCATCAAGTAATTCACTCTCTCTTTGGTTACCTAGCAACAATCTGCTGAGTCACACGCACTGCAGCAGTTTAAGGTTTGCAAACGTGCCTCATAACTGCTTGAAAAATGACAGGGAGTGAAAACTGTAAGACAGGAAAGATCACGTCACTGGCTCGGCTCATGTATTTAAAACAAAAAGGCAATCGATAGTTATTGATATCGACTGATATAAAATCCTTATATATCCTAACTTTTCAGCCATAATGCCCAGCAGTGTTACCTTCACGTCTCTGTGAGCGATGTCCACATGGTGGAGGTACTCTATGGCCGTCCCAATGTCGTGCATGATCTCCGACACCTCTGAGGGACGAGTTCAACGTAAACACCGAGGCGAACCTGATGAGACGTGAATCGGGCGGCTGAACAGAAGATTTGACCCACCTCTCTCAGTGAAGGCCTGGTCCCCTCTGACCTGGATGCGGCTGAACAGCTCCCCTCCCTCCATGCTGAGACAAGGCGGACAAAAGAGATGAGAACTGGGACAGAGTGGAAGCTCTTGGCAGACGTTTACAGGACGGTTCTCCACAGCACATTAGGACAAAGCAAACCATTGTGCCTGGTCATTTAGTGTTTAGAGAAGATCAGTCTTCAGAGCAAAACCAAACTCAGTGCAGATTGTGACACATATTTAACACGATTTAGTTAAAAAAGCAGAAATGCTCTGAAAAAACACAAACTCTTACAAAGTAATTTTGGTCTCATTTGTCTGTTTGCAAATTGCTGCTGCCACTAGTCTGGAAGAGCTGTGAGTTGGAATCGTGTGTGAGAGACAGAGACTTAGCTTGGAGCCCAAAGGTGACGCTTTGGAAAGCGCATTGCATCAGAAGGCGTTTATAAGTTACTAAATGACTTCTCAAACAAGCAGGAAAGAATCAAAACAACACTCTGGGTATGTTTTGATGAGGCAATGGCATCATAACGCAATGCAAAGCTCAATAGAGTTGATTTTACATAACTCCAACCCTTTAAAGACAGACAAAAAAAAATAATAATAGGGAATTACCTTAATTTATTACATGTTTGAAAATTAAGAGTTTTCAACAACTTTAGAGCAACTTCTAAGCAAAAGAAAAAAAAAGTTCTATCAGTATTGTCGTTGACATATTTTCATCTCTTTAGTATAACAGAGGTAGTGATGGCAGAGGTCTGCAACCATTACACTGAATTAAAATACAGCAAAGGTCTTGGAGTTTTGAGTGACTTTGCATACAGTAGGTTACAGAGTAAACCTC